AGGAGCGGAATACCTTGCTGTTGCTCTACAGGAAAATAAAGTGATATCTATTCTTTCATCCATGTTTTTGTGCTCAGTCGTTCAGTTCCTAATTCGTATAGACACTCACTGAACTCGATCTGCGTGCTAATCATATCAGTACACAAGGAGTGCAGCATTTAGCGAAAGCGCTTCAACGAAACCATCGAGTAAAGACTATCTCTTTTCTTTTCTTTTGCTCTTCACCAATCATTTGATTCAGACGCTTCGTACACTGAATATTCGAAACAATGGTATTGGTCATCAGGGAAAACAATATGCTAAAGAGATAGTTAAACATAACCCACATATTGAATTATTATATAATCATTAAGCAGCTAAATGGTTGTTGATGTGTGTTTTGTATTTAATAAAGAATAACTACGACAAGGGGATACTTAGATGAATATTATCGTGAAATTCTTTGTTTTTTGGTGCGAACTATCTGGTACTAACTTCACACTGATAATAGGTTTCTACACCTTCATCAAGGCTGAGTTTGTTCTTTTAAATAACATCTTTTTTCTTATTACACTCTTATTTTCATATTTACATTTTCTTCATTTCTCTGGGTATTTTGTCGACTATAATCAACCACATTTTTTCTTCGTTCTTTGTGTAACGAGAAAACAGCAACACAATCGTTTGTAAAACGTATACTCTTCATTTTCTTCCCAATTCTTCTCACAACAGTGTAAAAGGCATATGCACCGTAGAATCTGACTGTGAAGAAATCAAGTTTCCGTTCCTTTTCAAGAATGGGCACAAATGATTTTATTTACCTGCATCTGGATGAGTTAAGTCCAGATTGGGAATGTTCTCTATGCAGCAATCCATTCATCGATCCAGTTTACTTCCCTTCTCGATGTGGACAAACCTTTTGTCGACAGTGTCTTCAATTGAATTATGAAAAGCATGCAGCAAGCTGCACGCATTGCAATGGAAAACCCTTATCTCAACAAGATATCCAAGATCAAGTAGCACTAGTACATCGAATACTAGGCCGTCTCTCGGTACAATGCCGTCATTGCTTACAACAAGATATTGAACGTGGAGATTTTCTGCAACACATGCGCGAAATCTGCCCGAAAAGAAATGTACCTTGTCCGGCTAAAGATGTCAAATGTCCATGGAATGGATCACACGATCAATTAAATCAGCATGTTCATACTTGCCCATATGAACAACTCCGAGCGCTCTTAACGGAGCTTCTTCGTGACAGAAACGACCTTGATCAACTACGGAATGATCATCGAAAACTAGCAGATCGTTCGAAAGAGCAAGAAGATCGTATAAAACAGCTTGAAGTTGCAAATCAAGGATTGAACACGCAAGTTATACAAATAACTACTTTAACTGACCAATGCAAGCGAGGAGCAAACGAAAATGCATCACTAAAACAAGAGATTAATGTTCTAAATGAAGGAAAAGAAACACTCACAAAGCAAATAGAAGGTATGAAAGAGGATTTGGATAAAAAATTAGCCGAAATCGACCGGCTCAGTAAAGAAATCAATCGATTAACACCAATTGAAAGCGAATATGAACAAATCAAAACGGCACATGCATCACTGAAAGAACAGTACGACGCTAGTCAAGCTGCACTAACAAAACTTGAAGAATATACGCAAAAAATAGCAAATCAATTGAGAGGTGAAGAACAAATTTCAGTTCTCATTCAAGAAAAACAAAAATTGCGAGAAGAGTTGGACGAGCTGCAACCTATAAAGGAAGGACATCGGGCTTTACTTGGCTACTATCAAAAATCTCAAGAAGAAAACGAATGTTTGAAGCAGCAGATGATTAATTACGATAGGATTCAAAGTGAAAATCAACAGTATCGACAAGTATTGACTACACATGAAAGAGAACTTGAAAAACGTGCTATTAAAATCAAGCATTTAGAACTAAAAATAAACGGTCCAATTGGTCTATCGAGTAACTTATTCTGCTTCGCCACTTCGAACGGTTACACGAACCCACAACTCGAAGAATTCATTGAAAACTGTCAACGAAGTTCGTTATTGAATTTAAACAATGAGAAACTTAGTGAAGATGATCTAAACTTAATCGTCCATAAATACTTCACAACTTTAAAATATAAATCAGTTATTTTACGAAACAATGCGTTAACGGAACGTTCATTCTCTTGCTTGTTTTCTTTTTTGGGCGTGAATTCTACATTAACAGAACTATGTATTTCGAACAACATCATCTCCGACCAAGCGATACAACAGTTATCGGAGTCGTTATCATTCCGTAATTCCACACTGCGCAGATTGGTTCTCAATGGTAACCAAATAGACGACCAAGGTCTAGCGCATCTATCCAATATGCTAAAATCGAATAGAACACTTCGAGCTCTTGGTTTACACGAGAATCTCATTACGGATCAGTCGATGAAAGGTTTCTGTGAAGCCGTTCGATATTTTAATCAAACCCTCGAAGAGATAACGTTGTATTCGAATGCATTAATTTCGGATGCCAGCCTTGAGTATTTCGATGGCATGATTACAGACAATCAAGTGTTACAAGTATTATGGATGTATGATTGTCAATTTTCTGACGAAGGAAAAGTGAAATTACAGCAAACTGCTCAGAAGAAAGACACGTTTAACTTTCAAGTTTAATCGAATTGTAGTGTTTGCCGCAGAAAAGTCCCACTCATGTGTGGCTATATTTAAATAGCACCGGTGCTTTTACGTTTTTTTGTTTTGTGCATGTCAATCCTTTGCGTTTCTCTCCCTCCGACATTCCCACGCTCGATAAAAATACTAGGGCTGTGAATCATGTGGGGATTTTGTTTTCGAAATACATATTTAGCTGACGTGCTGAGTCATGGGGTGCGATACGATGAAAGCTTTTATCCCTTCTGATTCCCACACGAACCTTCTATATATAATTGCGTAGTCTAACAGAGAATGCTGATCAAAGTTAAGATTCGAAATCGAAAGCATGAAAGAAGCTTCGACATCGTCTATTACAATTGGATGTTTGGTCATCCTCAATTTATTTGTTGCTACCAAAGCGACTATCAATTGGAATGGTAATAATTGGGCTTTACGATGTGATTTTCGTGGAAATGATTTCACCAATGTTCGAAGTCCACCGCAATTATGCGGTCCGAAATGCGATGCAGTAGCAAAATGCACTCATTTTGCATGGACGAATTGGCAAGGAGGAACCTGTTGGATGAAGTCCGGTTCAGTTTCGAAATCCAATGCTATAAATAGTGCAGATTCGTCTGCAGTTTGTGGCGTCAAAGCAACGAGAAATCCTACAAGTAATCGAAACACAAGGTAGATATTTGAAAAAAGTACTTCTCTTTGTGAGCTTCTCATATTTCAAAGAAAACGAGGTATTGCATGGCCAATGGAAAATAAAGAAGATAATCCGGGTGTTTTTGGTGGCGGAAAGATTTCATGGGTTTACAATTGGTCACCGTATAGAACAAATCTTGCTGGTACTGAATTTATTCCTATGTTATGGAGTACGAATAAAGGTCACGATGGCAGTCTATTCGTGAATCAAGCACGAGGTGCAAAGCATGTGCTCGGTTTCAACGAACCGGAACGTGCTGATCAAGCACACATGAGTCCTGGTGATGCTGCACTAGCTTGGAAAAAATATATTGAACCTCTTAGACAACAAGGCGTTCGTCTTGGCTCACCAGCTATTGCTTCGACTAACGAAGGACTCAATTGGTTAAAACAATTCATCAGAGACTTGAATCAAATCGGTGGACGGATCGATTTTATTGCTTTACATTGGTACGGTCGTGGTGCTGATAATTTTATCAATTGGATCACACTCGTTCGTCAACAGCTGGGCAATAAACATCCTGTATGGGTAACAGAATTCGCTTGTACGTCATGGAATCCAAGTCAACCTGTATCTCAAGCAGAAGTCAATGAATTCATGCGACAGAGTGTTCAAAAACTTGATTCGTTAGACTGGGTTGAACGCTATGCCTGGTTTGGAGCTCAACGTCGTCTCGATGCTGCACTCGGTTCAACCAACTGTTTAATTCGAGCTGATGGAAGTTTATCTGATCTAGGTCGAACATATGTCCATGGTCTATAAAAGACAACATGCTCATAGAAATTTATTCGCACCAAAAATAGTTGCTTTCATTCTGTAATAAAAGGTCTAGATGACAGGTGTTGTATATTCAACATATTGAATTTGATAACCTAGAGCAAGTGCTACGATTTGGAATAGTTTACTAAACATCGAGTTAAATAGTCGGGGTAGATCGCATCGATAAATATCGTGGCCAATTTGAACCTGAAGTGTCGCTATCAGACTTGGACTATCCCGTCGAACACCATTGATATTTTCAAAATAGGAATCCGCACTTCTACCCGGTACCATTCCATGATCATTATAAAGTGTTATATATACCACTAAATCATCATCACCTGCACTCCAAAATGTATGACATGCACTTTTGGGTATAAATAAAGATTCGTTCGTTTCTTTCGTGCCATTCATGCCATTTAAGATGTAACCTAATCGACCTTGTTTAATATCAAACTTTTCATCTTGTTTTAGGTGATAATGAATTGGTGGAGTACAAGGTCGTTTCAATGGATGTGCATTTGATAACAAGTTTCCACATGGCCCGTCGCGTTTAATCGTTTGCTTAATTGTCGAATGCGTATGGCCAGTTTCATTCGATCTTAGAACAAACTCAATGATATCACCTTCGTAATGCGAATTCACGGGAATAATTCGTTGTCCAGCAGTTATACTACGTTGTGCTTTATCCTGACGAATGTACACGAAAACAATGGATAAAAGAAGAAAAACAATGGCACGTTTCATCGTTTTTTTTTAATGTTTGAATCGAATCGACGCACATGGTCGTTTTATTCATTCTCTTTCTTCTCGCAAACGAAAGAAAAGCAACGGTGTCTTTTTTATTAGAATAATACAAAGACTAAGCTAAAGAAAATCGATAGTTGTAAGAAATCTTGAGATCATCGTTTGTCGTCCACTAGTTTTTCACTATGATGAACCACTGTCATAGATAGGAGAAAAATAGCATCGGGAAGTTTATTAGTGAAGATTTTCACGTCATATTTGTACTTCGTGCCACTACGCCAGAACGAACGATAGCGAAATTGTCCCATTAACTGATTCGTTGATTCATCATAGATTTTAATCGTTTTTGTAAACGATTTGCTCTTCATAACCAGACGTTGATTGTTCCAATTAAGTTTATACGTATAGGATAGAAGACCTCGCACAAGTGTCATGATTCCATCAACCCATTTGTCCGATTTCGGATCATAAATAGAGAGAGACACGTTGAAGATGCCATTGATCCATTCTCCCTCGACATTTCCGATCATTGTTCGAGCACGATAATCGAATAGTGTAATGGTATCAATATCACTCGATGTTGTTCGTAGTAGGTAAATACGATCCTTTTCTCGTGAATCATACGCAGTAAAATCAGTTAGAGGTTTGAGGGTGGGAGGTTTGTCTTCTTTAACTACATACGATCGAACTGCTGTTTCAGATTTAGCGCATTTGATCGCCAGAATCAATGAGAGTAATAGAAAAAGAATCAACTTCTTTAGCATGATGAAAAAGGAGGAAAATGCCGATGATTCTCTATGTTGTTCTTTGTATTTATATGTATTTTGTATTTGTCAACACTGTTAAGGTCAACACATCAACAGCTCTTCTCGTGATAACGAATTCTGAGATGTCAGAGAAAGACCAATCAACAAAGTAAAACTGTGATAATTTGATGATACAGTAGATATACTTATATATTATAATGAAGAGAAAACGTTTTAGAAAATCAGTTTCAGTTTTCGATTTAATCTTCTTATTTCCATCAGATGACTTTTTCCTTCATCACTGATGTCGTTGAAACGAATGTCCACAAAGGTCAACGTCTACGTAATAAAAGAGCTTATTTCGATGAAATGTTGATGAAAAAGAATGTTACTTTGTTTTCACGGAGAACGTTAGCAAGAGAGATCGCTCCTTGATCACCAATGTGGTTCCACTTCAGATGAAGTGTCGTAAGTGTCTGTAGGGAACATTGAACGAATGTGAAATTCGAGAAGAAGAAGAAGAAGAAGAAAAGTAGTTACCTTGTTTTTCGTAAGAGCATCAGCGAGATATTCTGCTCCTTGGTCACCAATTTTATTCTTTTTCAAGCTCAGAACGGTGAGGCTCTATGACAAAAAAGATCAAATGCGTCGAATGTGTATGCGAATGAGTACTTGATTTTGTTTTAAAGCTTCAGCAAAATGTTTCGCTCCTTCATCCGTAATTGGGTTTTGAGCGACGTAGAGTATTGTCAATGTCTGAAGAGATGAAAAGGAAGAAATTGTTAAAAAGTCAAATGATGATGACCTACATGATTATTTTGTAAAGCTTGGGCAAGATGTTGAGCTCCTTGATGACCGATGTGGTTTTCTGCGAGATATAACGTTGTAAGTGTCTATGAAAAACAGAACAAGAATAATAAGGATGAAGTTCTAGTTCTATACGTTACTTGATTTTCTTGTAAAGCATCAGCGAGATCTGCCACTCCTTGATCTCCAATTTCATTACGTATCAAATTTAATCTTACTAGTGCCTATCGATCACAATCAATGTATACATATAAAGTGTTCATAGAACAGAGTAGAATTTACTTTATTATGTCTTAATGTATCAGCAAAGTGTCGTGCTCCTTCATCGCCAATTCGATTGTAATGAAGATTCAGTCGAGTTAGTGTCTAATGCAAAATGAAAATATGAACATCTCGGTGGAGAAGTGTATGTTACTTGATTTTGTTTCAGCGCATCAGCAAGATATGCTGCCCCTTTTGAGCCGATTTTATTCAAATGAAGACTTAATTTAAGTATTCCTTGATTTTCTCGTAAGCCATCAGCAATATACGACATCGACTGAGCGTCAATCTCATTGAGTCCAATATCAAGCACACTGATCGTCTAAACTCAATAGGAAATCACGGTCATAAAAACTACGAATTTAAAATACTACTTTGTTTTGTTTGAGAGCATTGGCAAGATTTGCTGCACCTTTTAAATCAATGTTATAGTTACAAAGTTGAAGTGTAGTCAATGCCTATATAAAAGTTGAAATACTCGGCCTATTCACATGAGCGAAAGTGGTTTACCTTGTAACGGCGATAATTCTCCATCATCGTATCAACGCGTTTACAAACATTACTCAGCGCAGAAATGATCGTAAAATCATCCAGATAATTCACAATTCGATAGAAGAGTTCCACCGGTAGTATGTGAAGATTCAATTGATTAGCCATTATTCGATAAAACTTATTCTAGTACCATTTGCACTCTCCGTTTACGGTATTTATATTCGTTCTGTGATTGTGTAATGACTTGTCCACATGGAAGGTTGCGAATGGTTGATTAGAAGCAGTGACGAAATACAAGCGCTTTCTAACGCAATGACGATTGATTATGACTTCATTGAATGTCATTTTCTGTTGTGTTCAGTAACGAATAATAAGAAGATGACGGCGCCATATTTCGAGAACATTCTTTCCTGCACCAACCTCTATTCTAGTTGAAGAACATTACACGTTGTTGTGTAATGACGATTATATATTTTCATTTATCATGCAAGTTTTGTAAAATGACACAGTCTAAACGAAAATATGATGAGATGATGTTCGAATCGAATCCACTTCGAATTCCGGTGATTTGTTATCAACAAATCTTTCGTTATTTACCGATCGAGTCATTACTGTCGGTGGCATTAACATGTAAAACATGGTATAACTTACTCGCATCTAACCAATTCTGCTTTAACAAACGTACGAAATTAACCCTCTCGAACGAACAGCAACTGCTCGTGATTTCCAATTCGAAAATTTTACGTCATGTCAATAGAATTGAAATGGATTTGTCCGATCGTAGAATAGCATGGGATAATTTTCAATTGAATTTTACTTCGTTACATACGTTCAAATTACGTTTTGTTTCGTTGACACCGGTGTTTGTTACAAATTTATTTCGATCGGTTTCTCCAACTCTGAAAAGCTTAATCTTAGCGATGAATCCGGAAATAAATGCCGAGACAACGATGACATGCCTTTGTCTTCTAACATCGTTGCATCTTCTTCCAAATTTAACGTACTTCTTTCTACTTTTACGATCGGGCGCGAAAATTGAAATCGATATCGAGAAATATTTTAAATGTTTGACAAAATTAGAGAAACTTATTCTTCGCCAGGACAATTTTACTGGGAGAAGAAGTCGAGTTCAGCAACTGAATGCTCTAGCATGTCTTCCGAACTTGAAATATTTGGAATGGTTCGAATTTTTACCATCGGATTTGCAAATTTTAGCGTCTTTGCCATGCCGACCTCCTTTACAACATGTTCATCTTCAAGAAACATTGATCACCAATGAAATTTTGTACCATTTAAGTCGAATTCCCACTATTACTTCATTGAGATCACATCGATTTTCGCCTTTACAAGCGAAACTCAACATCAACGGTTATAAGTATTTACTTGCCTTGAAAGAATCATTAAAAGAATTACAGATTAGTGCAAAACATATCAAATATGATGAACTGACGATGATTCAATATCCAGCTGAATCAGATTGCACCGAGAATGAATACGAAGTTCAAATAACTTCAGAACACATTGATATTCTCAAACAATTCATTCATTTGACAAGTTTAACTTTCGATCAGATCAGTATTACCAAAGAAAATATGGATAATTTACTCATTAGTTTGGTTGATCATCATACATTGAAAATTTTAGATTTGACTTCGGTTTCTTTCCCATCAATGGTAGTCCTGTCACAAGTGACAAGTTTAGAAGAATTAGTGTTAAGTTATCCCAACAGAGAAGATGAAATACAGTACACAGATGAAGATTTGATGATCTTGTCTCCGCTGAAGAACTTACGGGTATTGGAACTGTACTACAGTTTCAATTTACAATCGAAAACAAGAAAAAGACTGAAGGCACAGGCAAGAGCAAATTGTAGTTTTATTTTTGAAAAGTTAGAAGAGTTTTTTTATAATGATGATGAGTAATTCAAAAATTCAAAAATAATTCTTATGGACAGATGATTTGCACTGTAGCTTGCGATGGATTTTTGCTTGCGCCAGGATAAGGTGTGACTTGTACAAGAGTGACATTGTACGATTTGCTATCCACAGCAACGAGCGCATTAGGTTTCGATTGGGCGCCAATAATCAGTTCTGTTGTGCTTGAACCTTCGGAATTTGAAAGAAGTAATCCGACTTTAGCTTGGCCTGCCCAAATACAGGCCATTTTCAGTGGACATCGACTGTCTTGAATAGAACTAACTTGAAGGTTTGCATCACAACAGATTTCTGTATTTTCATTTACGCCCAGAGTGACAGTAACTGTAACAAGCTTTGCTGATTTGCCGGTTACGATATTACCACAACAGATGAGTACAATAAGAAGTAGATAAAACATGATTTTTGTGAAGTTTCAATTAATATATCGAATCGGATCATCAATACTCAACATTAAATATCAAACGAAAAACCAAAGAACGCAGATGTGTATGACACAAGTAGTTTGTTTTTAGTAATAGGTATGATATGTATCATACTTTATGACTCAGTTGACGTCAGTGCAAAACGAACAGAAAATTGCGTCGAAACGGAGTTAAGAAGTACGATATTTGTACTTCAGATGTTGAAGTCTGCTAATGATTCATTTGCGTATGGACGTGTCCTGCCGTTTTCGATATGATTTTTCTCTCCGTCGTTGCAACTATATTCATTGGTACTGTATTCGTCATTGGTGCAACGACGCGAACAAATCTTGCATATTGAATCATCGTAAGAAACTCTCGACGAAAATCGTGAAATGTAATGAAATACAACGGAAATGATAAGATATGATATGTATACATAGCTGCATCGACCAGCATCAAAACTGTCGTATTGACTATGTCATAGAAAAACGCAAAGATGATGCTTGATGGTATCGTCATAATTAGAAAGAGAAATGTTGTTATAAGTAGTGTGATCGAAATAACACGATGTTGAATGCGAGAGTTTTGAATCGCTGTCGTGCGACGACGACGAACTAGATGATAAATCACACCACTATCAAGTGTTACCATGCAAAAAAATGGTACACAATTATAAATTCCGAGTTGAATATAATCCCATAGTGGAAAGACTTGGTAAAATACTGAATTAGCCGTGATGGTGCCATCAGACCGAACATAACAAGCAAAGAGGAGAAAATGCGCATTGTAGATCGTGAATACGGCAACAATACATCCAATAATAATCAGAACGCTGTTCGGACGACTAAACCAAGTCCGATTGAGATGACTCAAAGCTAAATATCGATCAAAACAGATGAATACACGAAGCCATGCCGACGCAGGTGTGATAAAATAGTCAATAAAACTCATAATTTTGCAGGATGGAATGCTGTATTCAACAAGTCGGAATCCATGTATTGCATAAAGATAATGATCGAGATTCCATCCGTATAACATCACAGTATCAAAGATTGCCATTGCACGCATGTAGTGCATGACAGGTTGCTTTTTCGTATCTTGGAACGTTCGTCGACAGAGAGTAACGAATGTGAGCATGTTAAGAGTAGTACCCGCGATCACGAGAAATAATGGATAGTAAGAAAAAAAGAGAAACTCAACACTGGAATCCGTATCATTCGTAGACATTCTTGCTGAGTTATTCGAAATAACTGAGCCTTTATTTTTGTAATACAACGTCGTTTTAATTGGCTTTTCGGCATATCCTTTATTAAATTATAATGATACTTGTGGACTTGTTCGATTAAGAGGTATCAAAAAAAGCTTCTGTTGTGTTTCTACTTTAACGAAATTGGTTTTGTCAATTTATTCACTCAGGAAATTAAAACTTGTTTGTGAACATCTGTGCTAAGAGGAATACTCAGCGTATGCATTATTCTATCTTCGATATAATGCATATAATAAGAAAGGAAGTTGTTTTTGAATGTTACAGTGTAGAACAGTTTGTTAATTGTATATGACCTTCGAAAGGATAACGAAAACTGATGACAGAATGTCAACACAATCTTTTCGAATGTATTTTCCATTGTTGATAAGGGATAATCACGTGAAGTACACATATAATTTCTACGATTACTAATGATAGACACGAGGGGAAAATATATATATATATATGTATATAGATGAAGCGATGTACATATTCTCTTTCATTCATAAAATTTGTATATAAGACAGTTGATATCTTCTATATCACTACTTCTCCTGTTGATTACAACACAACGGTTAATGTCATGATGAGACTACATTCAATTTATTTATTATTTTTCATATTATCAGTAATCCACTGCGGTAGGATTGTTTTATACAGATTACAATCAGTTCTTCTACTGTCAATTTTTAGATCCTAAATTGGGAACTGGTAAAGAGACAGCATATCGTGAATTTGAATATCGTATTATTACTCGACAATTGTATGGCAAGAACGAACGAACAGGAAAAGAAGCACAGGGAATCAGTGAAGGTGAATTGAACAAATACGGTCAAGATGGATGGCAACTTTGTGGACTGATCAATGCGAATTTTATTCCCGGTCTTTGGTCCACTCGAATCCCTGATGTTCAAATGATATTCAGACGACTGAAAATAAAAAGTCGAGTTCAAGCTGGTTGAGGACTTCGAAACATGTTTCGTCTGCTTTTATTAATACTAACGTTTTAATTATAACTTCTGTCAATCCACAACCCTTCTCTGTTGTGTTCTAAAAAGAAAAAAAATGATGCTTTGTCGATGCAATGACCTGAAAAACTCAATTTCTATTGAAAAGCAAGATTACAATTAAACAGCCAGGCTCAGTTCGCACTTAAAGTGATACAAAGACAATTTTGAATAGGATTTTGCGCGAGTTAATTAAAATAAGAGAAAACACGGAACATGTAGTTTTTTAAGTCGATAGGGAGAAGTCTATCGAGAAAACAAATGAATTCTATCTAATTGTTAATACGGTTCGATGAGTATCCCCAGATCAAGCGACACAAAATTGATCAACACTTGTTTTTTTTGCCATATGCATCAACGGTTGATGATAGAACTGATTTACTGATCGCGACAAGTCGACCTCTTACTTGAATTATGAAGGGGAGAAGCATAGTAAGTGAAATAATCACCGCTGTAAATGGAACAGAAAGCGAATCAGGTCAATTGTACGGTCCTCGTGGTTTATCATTCGATGCTGAAAGAGATCGCTGTGTTATTAATTACGGAAATAATCGGACTCAGAGACTTGATTTACTTTGACAACCAAAAGAAATTTTTGCGGCAAAATTTTGAAAGACAAAGAAAACAAAATGAGAGTTGAAACGAAAAACAGCCGAGATTTTTTATAGTCAATGCTAATTTAGCTGTTCTTTAAAATTCGTTTTCTTTCGGCACCTTTCTCTATCAGTACCGAGTCGCGAGTAGTACAATGGGTAACATCGCTACACTGCTTTCAACGCTTCTAATCTTTCGTTTTGTTCAACAGTTTCAACAATGGTTGGACTTTTTTTATCCACCTTCTTTTTCCAAACATCTCTTTATCATTCCACTTGAGTAAACTCGCATATTCTTTGTAAAGAATGCGGTCATGGCGAAGAATAAAGCATGATGGTCGATCTGTAACAGAGATATGATCATCTATACGTGCCAAGGTTGCTCAACACTATTTTGCTTCGACGACTTAGGAAAACATCGACAAAAATTAACTCAGGAGCTAAATGTGATTGTTAAATCTTATGATTAATTTAGAGACGGAATTCGTTGAACACAGTCGAATCCTTTATTCGACCAACAAATTGACCAATGGAAAAAGAATTCAATCGAACTATTGATTCAACAAAATCGCTCGCACAATGTCGAGAAGAACTTGGCGAATACACTATTAAAGCTGTTTCTCTTATTGAAGCAAAAGATAATGGATTAACCAGTCAGCTGAAAGAGATTCAACAACAAATTCTTATTTTAACACTGGACTAAATGAAGAATGAAATGAGAAGATAAAGACGGGGAGAACAATGGGGTACATTAGTAGCTGGTGGAAATGGAAAAGGAAACGAACTGAATCAGTTCGATTGTCCTACTTCTATCTATGCCGACGATCAACAATCGGCTTATTTTTCAGATCAAGAAAACCATCCTCAAGGAATATACATCGATCATTTTCGTCAGATTTATATTACAGACTCTGATAATCATAAGATAATGCATTGGCATGAAGGAGATGCAAGTAGGTGAAATAATTGTTGGCGGAAATGGACGACGGAACCAATCGGACCAATTTCAGTGTCCCAAAGGTGTAGCAATTGATATCGAAGGAAATCTTTATGTTAACAACAACCGAAATCATCGTACTGAAAAAATTTGACTTGATTGGTGAATACGTAATATTTATTTTGTTATCGATGCTAAATAAAGTTTTGTTTTGAATGAAACAGTTGAAAGTCTTTCGAAAATGGTTTGAGTTATTATGAAAACCCAGCTGAAGCGAATTGCAGAATCTACAAAGAAAACTTGATATGGTACTGAATTACGCGACTTTTCGTAATGTCGTGGAATATTGTTCCACACACGCAAACATTTGCGCGTGAGTGGTATGTTCATTTCAAAAGATTAGTAAATAAAGCATTTATTGAAGCTGTCATTTGATTCGATAAATATATTCAAATCATTCTAACTTATTAATTTCTCTCATCTTATCTTTTTCTTGTTATGATGTGTCTGTATCGCGATCAATTGCTAAATAAATATGAGCGCAGTTGGCTTATATTGATAGTGAATGTTCCTCGATAAAGGAGATGTTGTATATTATTGAATAGGTTCATATCTAGAACAAACCTTACTTTGAACATGAATGTAATCGGTCAATACTTTGTCGTAGCAGTTGTTCTTCGATTAAATTTATGCTCAAATGGGCAGTACTACTTATATGGCGATGATTGTCTAGATTTTTATGCAGCAGATTATACACGACCGGATATTATTGCGAGGAAACAAGCCCGACAAGAGCACCAAGTAATCCCATATTGTAGACGTAACCATTTTATCGCAAATGATCAGATGATCATACCTGCAAAAGAGATAACATCATGGCGATTCGACGAATTAAACAAGCGTAACATCAGCAGTCAACAGTTATATAAATGGTCCGCACATCTGGATTTAGTCGAAAGTTATCAAGCGTTTCGTGAAAATCGAACCGATAACGAAATTGATGAAGCGCAGACAATATTCTACAATTGTTCTCTTAAACAGAAATTTGGTCGATACTGTCAGTATTCGTTAGATGTTCAGGTCAGTTGTAGAAGTACCAAATATTGTTGATCAATCTATCGTTGTAGAGACCATTCCAAACAATTTTAAAGGATGTGTTCAAAAAAACCTATTCGCTACCTTCAAATGGTACATGCTATGTACACTTGAACTGCTTGCGCAATAATGTTTCATGGTGTCTCGATTGGAGTGATGTATGCGATGGCAAGCCTGATTGTTGGCCGGATATTATTGATGAACAACACTGCGAACAACTTGAGCGGAATGAATGTGCAGAAGATGAATACCGATGTGTCAATGGTCAATGTATTCCGGAAATCTTCTTGTTAGACGAAACTTATGTGCCAGACTGTCTGGATGGAACTGATGAGCAACTATCTGCACATCAGAACTTTCAAAAACATTGTTGGACAGACGGCGATCCATCGTTCTACTGTACAGATATAAAATGTTTGCATTGGTCTTTTTCTCTGGGCCCTGCTAGTAATAGACACTGCGACTCCAGTTACTATCGTGATGCACGCGTCCGACAATTTCCACATGATCTTCTCTCATTAACCATCAATAAACATATCCAAGAAGAATGCTGGGCTACTATGATTTGCCTTCTTCAAATAAATAGTGGAGTCATTTCGTTGGTGAGTAGAAACAAACTAATCTAAATTTTGCCTAATTCTAAGCAAACTTTCATTGCTTTTCCTTAGGACAACCCATCATATAGTTATTTGTTCAATGGTAGTTGTAACAATGTGTGTCGAGAACCTAGTATTCCCTGCGCTCCAAGACTAGAACAGTATTGTCCACCACTGTTCGAATTCCCAGCTATGTCTATTAATGGATATCAACTGCACTTCTTATATTCATGGAATCGATCTAATATACTTCCAGGTCGACCCAACTATATCTGCTATGATGAAAGGCATTGTGGCACATCTCAATCAAATATTAAGTTTGAAAAACTAAGTCAACCGTCGATCATTCTTTCTTGTCAGCATCAAAATATTAGTAACTTTCCGATTGGCTGGTCTGCGCAGATTCTATCCATACAAAGATATATATACCAGCGATGTTCGTTGATGGCAAACGAACAAGAAAGTGTTTGTTTGGAAACTAATCAGTTTCGATGTGGTAATAAATGTATTTCCAAACACCGTCTACTCGATGATCTTGCCGATTGTCCAGACAACATTGACGAACGATACAATGAAAGCTGTTCCTTGATGCACAAGCACAGATTAACATGCTACTCCAATTTCACAGGAATTGAGAGGACCTACTGTCAGCCACGAACACGTATACGACAAGGAAGACTGAATGAATGCAATGCCAAAATAAAACTTCCGCGTTTCCCTAATCTATGTGATAAAAACATGGAATACGAAGAAGTAATCGGTAAACAAAAGGAGACGGATGAAACGAACTGTGAAGAATGGCAATGTGACAATCAGTATACAAGGTGTGATGGTGTATGGGAGTGTGACAACGGAGCAGATGAAGCGAAATGTTTTAATCCTATATGCAAAGGGAAAGAAGGACACCCTTGTTTTCTAATAAATACTACGAAATTCGTTTGTCTTCCAGTTGAATATGCGAATGATGGAATTGTCGATTGTCTCGGTGCGACAGATGAACGCCATTCATGCAAAAGCTTGGCAGATAACTCACTGTATCTATGCCGAGCAAATGGTACTAACAAAACACAGGGGACGTTCAAGTAAGTTTTTACGTAATATATCTGTAATTTTCTGTGAGAAAATATTTTATTCAATAGGGAAAAAGCGTGTATTAGTCGTGCACACTTATGTGATGGAAATCGTGATTGCTTGTTAGGGGACGACGAAGATCCTTTTTTATGCAAACATAGTGTAAGTTCCAATTTTGAAACTTTATGTGGTCATTTTGTGACGTTCGATCGACGAGTAAGCAGTAACAACTTAATGTGCGGCTTAGATGGGTTTATAAAAAAATCTGCTTCAATATTCGATATGCCAACACGATTTTCACTCAATAATCATAGTATTGTTTTCGCATCACCTCTAATAAGTAAGCAATCCGCAGGTTCTTCACCCTTATCACTTCTGGAAAACATCCTTGACCAGCTGTTCTTTCCTCAGATTGGTAACCAACAACAAACGCCACTAGCTCAATTTCAGTGTCACGGCGGTGTACCAGTTTATTTCCAGCATACAGTTAGCTGTCTTTGTCCACCGCATCCCTATGGTTCCAAATGTGAATATCAAAGACAACGTGTGAGTGTCACTCTTCAGATCGGAGCTCCTGAATGGCAAACTCCATTTAACTTAGTTGTCTATCTTCTTGATGATAAAGATGAGATCGTCAATTCATATTACCAAATAAGATATCTGTCCATTCGAGACTGCAACACTAAATTCAACTTTCATTTACTCTATTCTTCTCTCCCCAAATCCACCACGACAACTTATTCGATTCGTATTCATGTCTTCGAAATGGGAACACTCAAATATCGTGCAAGCTGGACATTTCCTCTATTATTCTCATTTTTGCCTGTTCATCGTTTACCAATTCTGTTAGTAGTGCCACCGGTTACTATGTCGCCAAGAAGCAATTGCCCAATTGATTGTCATTCGAAACGCGGTCAATGTGTATCATTTGTAAATACAGGTGGATCATTTTGTCGTTGTCAATCAGGTTGGACTGGTCCATCATGTACAATTCCATATAAATGCAATTGTTCTCCAGATTCAATTTGCCTTGGTATTTGGAAAAATCGGTCCATTTGTGTCTGTCCTATTCATAAGTTTGGAGAACGATGTTATCTAGGAAATAATATATGCGAACAAACCGGTACTAGAAAATGTCAAAATGGAGGTACATGTATTCCACGAGATCATCGAATCACTGTTGATAAACCAACGGTGTGTGCATGCCGAGATGGATTTCATGGTGACAGTTGCCAATACAATGAAACACGAATTGATATATCAATTCAAATGCCAAATAAGAAAGAATCGCTTTTAGTTCATTTTATCACTGATAATTTCAAGGTCTCTTTGTTTCCATACATTCCAACAAAAAAGTGGGGTGCACATGAACGTGCAACTACATTCAAACGAATTGCACTCTATAGAGATATAGTTACCATCTATTGGCAAAATCCGTTTCATCTCCTTTTTGTCGAATATGACCATAACATGTATTTACTATTAACTCAGCTCAAATACACATCATCAGCTCATTATCAACTTACGTTAAAACCTGATCGACGATGTCCGTCCATCCGAGAATTACTAAATCGTACGATCTTCAATTTTCCACTTCTTCGACGTGTTAAATACTATCATATTCCATGTCAACAACAACTGGATCTCGAATGTTTTCACGATGAAGATCAGTTCATGTGTTTATGCACATACGATCATCGAGCAAACTGTTTTACATTCGACCATCGTATGAAATATGATTGTTCACAGTTGAATCATTGCGAAAACGGTGGACAATGCTTTCAGAATTCTGCCAAATGTCCGACAGCTGCCAGATGTGCTTGTCCCAAATGCTATCTAGGTACTCGATGTCAACTATCAACTAAAGGCTTTGGCCTTCCGTTAGATGTCATACTCGGCTACCAGATTCTACCCGCTCGCTCTTTTTTTCATCATTCCTTGCCGGTCAAATTGAGCGCAGTAGTTACCATTATGATGTTTATATTCGGTCTTATCAATGGCATCCTCTCTACGGTCACCTTCGTACGGAATAACTCACGCGAAGTTGGTTGTGGTATCTATCTTTTGACTGCTGCAGTTCTCTCGATTTTCACTATGGTCGTATTTGTTTTGAAATATTTTTTGTTGTTCGCCACGCAGTCTCAATGGATTACCAATCGTGGCTATCTATCGTGTCAGTGTATATTGATCGATTTTATGCTGAAGATATGCTTACAAATTGAGGATTGGTTATATGCATGCGTTGCCGTTGAACGTATCGTGTCCGTTGCTAAAGGTGTTCATTTCAAAAGTGAATCTAGTCGAAAAGTAGCTAAATGGATTGTACTTCTTGTCTGTCTGATTGTTATTGGCACTTCGATCCAAGAGCCTCTTTACCGGACTCTGATTATCGATGAAGATGAAGGAAGAACTTGGTGTGTTGTACGTTATCCAGATTCCAACTCAAATCTTCTCATTACATTTACATCTGTTACGACTGTTATTCACTTTATTAGTCCATTTGTAGTTAATCTACTATCGGCTTTCGGAATCATCATCATCATCGCTAGGCACCAATCGAACCTTCACAAAACTGTCGCAATGAACGAGCATGTTCAGCGTCAACTTCGTCGACACAAGTATCTAATTATCAGTCCTATTGTACTAGTTATTCTAGGTCTACCACGCATTATTCTCGCATTTTACCTCGAATGCCTGCAGTCAGCTTATGATTCAGTTAGCATATATCTACTCGGATATTTTATTTCGTTTTTACCATCGATTCTTCTTTTTGTTGCTTTCGTTTTACCTTCGAAATTATACAAAACAGAATTCAAAAACTCTGTGAAGATCCATTGGAAACTACTTCAGCAAGTGACGTCTCAACGGAGACGCGCTTTCATATAAACATTTGGAAATTTCTCTTATCTATGTTCTCCACGAATTGCAAAAGAAACAACTGGGTATTTTTGACGCGTCTATGACGATATAGAAAGAGAGAAAAACAACCAACAGAGGAAAGAGCAGTCTTCGCTCGACGATAGAAATCTCTTTTTTTCTCAGCTTCATAAACAACACTATATTTTTTCTTTGCTTATTATTTTGTTTCGTTCTGCAATAGTGGAGTACAACATCGTTGACTGTCTACACATATAGAGAAAACGTGCATTGTAATTATCGACGTTTATTGTACGTTTAACCATATTTTCTAATACCCAGACAATGACTTCTGTGAGTCTAAATCGATCCTACGATGAAGAAATCACGAGATTCATTGATTATTTGCTCGATACTATTTCAACAACGGAAGTAGCATACAACAAAACGATTTTAGAGAAAGAGAATTTTTATCAATCACAGTACAGTTCAAGTTATAAAAAACTTATCAACCAGAAACTACAACAATGGAGAGATTTTGATGAAAACGAGACAATCGACGTAATCACTGAAAAAGAACTTTCGGAAAAAGAATCTGAGAGTGAAGACGAGTCCTCACCAGAAGATGAAATCAACCGGTCAACATCATCGAAACTTCCTCCGAAAGTACATGTTGACCTTCGGCAAATTGAAATTCAAATCGATCCTGTTGGTCAATGCGAACGTCTTCTTCAATTCTTATATCACTGTCAGCAACATTATCCCCATTTTGTCGATCTCTATTTTCATACTCTTAATCATACCATCAGATGTTCCAACGAAAAAATCAATACTGTTGCTTTACAACAAATCGCTCGACATCTCTCCGATGGTGTCACGAACGAAAAGCAACGTCAGCGTTTGATCGAATGTATTCCAGGTAAAAATGCGTTGGCGACTGTTTCGAAAATAAACAAACCGATTTACGCGACAATTCAAACTTTACTTGTGACAAACGAAACAGGCATCGTATCACCAGAAGATCTAGATATCTTATATCCATACCGTGCTCGATTTATTGATTTACAACGTGAATTTCGTGATAGCGCACATTATTTTATCGACGGCGATTCATTCCTTCTCTCAATTGCTCACCATATTAATGTTGATCTTCTTTCTTACTTTGGCAATACTCTTCATGTAATTTATTTAATTGAACGTATTCTTTCGACACTTTTCAATCGAACGCGCCAATGTAATTATTCTCTACTCTTCTTTGATTGTCATCATCAATTCTACCAGCAAGAAAAACCTATCTTGAGTCTTATTCGATCCTGTCTTATCGCTCATCTTTCAAAGAATATTGATCAATACAAGTCCTCGAAAGTACAACAATTTTCATCGTGGTTCGATGATGATTATAAAGCATTTGCTCAGAAAGAAAAGCCTCATTTCGTCTTTTATCATGATATGTCAAGCTTCGATCTCAAACTCGATCATCTCTTAAGTAAACAGTCTCTTACACGTCTTCTTCATATCTACCGGCTATTTGGTATATATCATCAGTATTATTTGAATTGCCATGCGTATCTAATGAATAAATTAGCATTGAATGATACTTATATCAAATGTTTTCAAGTGGATTTTCGTAGAAATTGCTCGGAACCTCGAATACGCAAAGCACTCCAGATCCGTCCAGCCTATCGACATGTTACAAATGTCAAAAAAGACCAATGGATTCAATTCGAAAGACAAATTACTGATGACAAAGATTTACGATTAGCTCTTTATATCAAAACGATCAAGGATTTGATGGAAATGAAAAAGGTATCTATTTCTTGATGTCAAATCACTCATTTTGTACGTGTGACGCTTTAGGATCAGTTTGAAGAAGAGAATCTACTGAGACTTCTTAGTCCATTACTTATTCTTCATGTGGCTCTTCTCATTCGCCTTTCGCTAGTCGATCGTCATCTCCCCGAAGATTTACCGTCGATCACGTTCAGCTCCCAGCTTTCTCAATTGATCATTGAGCTTCAACAGCAACTGGCCTTATCAGTGACAGCTGCATGTTCATCAGCTCGATCTTGTTCGAAAGTAGCTGACTTATACGACGGACGCCTATTCGCATTTACGCTCTATCAGCTTTTATCTAATGTATCCTTCGATTCGGACACAATGGGTATTTTCAGCGATGGACTATTATTCTTAGAATTTTCAACCGACCAAAACCTATTTCTTGAAATAACAAAGAAGCTAGTTGAAGCTGAGCACTTAACATTTTCACCATCTCTTGCGAGACAGAGTACTGCTGTTATTAAGTCACAACAAATCACTCGTATATCCAATCGATTTATTGATACTTGCCTACAACCGATCATTTCCAATGTCAACAATACGACATTCAATTTCGTCGATCCTCAAGATGTTCATTTATCTCGATACGAAGGTAAATACCATTGGCACGTGTACAAAGAGGTATGAGACTCCTTATTCTCGTCATTCCTTCCGAAATATGATATTCTAGGTTGGCGATGAAATCAGCCGTGTACGAAATAATGATGAAACCTATCGAAATTCTACCAAATATCGTTGTCGAACCCAACAACAACAACGATTGTAATGTTTGCATCGTTTCACTCTGTAAAATTTGTTCTTTTTTTTTCTTGTTTAGTTACGCTTATTTCACTTTGTACGGCAATTCATTGACTAGTCGCGATGTTCGAGATAATCATTTGCAGATTGTCCTCCCGACGGTTTCGTCGTCAGTTGTACAAACGGAGTCTAAGAAGAAAGAAAAACCTCCGAAAAAAGTGGATCTCATTCGCGAGAGAAATAAACAGCAGAAGATGGCGGATCGCACCGAGGACGAAGCTGGTCAATTAATTGCAGTTCTAAAGTTATTAGATGAGGTTCCGGTAGATAATTATGCTCGAGCGATTGACATTCTCGATGCTGCTTTACTGAACTTTAAAATCTCGTCTCATCGTTTGGAAATATTGAAACGGAAGTTTCGATTTCAACGGAAATATTTACAATCGCTTCGGAAGAAAAGCGTTCTAACTAACGAAGAAAACGCCAGTTTAGAGCTTCTTCAAGTGAATTATTTCGCAACCATGAGTGAAATGGCCAACATAGAGCACGTCGATGATGTATTCGAGAAAAAGACGAAGTATTTAGAAGAACTGATCGGTCAAACACCTTTGGACCGAGAAGAATGGTATCGATTTCAAATGAACCAAATCAATAGTCGACTACCAAGACGCGAAAACAGCAAACCGGACCAACGTGTCATAGATTTCATTCCCGACGACTGGCAAGTGAAGTTTCTTGATGCTGTGGATAAACGTCAATCGATCATTATCGTCGCGCCTACTGCCTCGGGTAAAACGTATGCATCATACTATGCAATGAACAAAGTGCTGAAAGACGAGAATGATCATCACGGTCTGTGTGTGTACATCGCGCCGACGAAAGCATTAGTCAATCAGGTCGCAGGTGAGATTGACACTCTTTTTATTTCTTCGTTAATGATCTATTTTAGCGACAATTCATTCGAAATTCGGTCCGGTATTTGGAATATTTACACGAGATTACCGCGTAAACATGGATTCATGCCGAATATTGGTTACTGTTCCACAATGTATGGAAATTTTACTTCTGTCTCCAACACATCAGCAATGGTGTCAACGGATCAAATATGCCATATTCGATGAAATTCATTGTATGTCGGGCGAAATCGGCGCGGATGTTTGGGAAAAGACCATGTTACTTATCAATTGCCCAATGATTGGTCTATCGGCAACAGTGAATAACAGCGATGAGTTGCGTCAATGGATTACGAATGTCGAACGACAACGAGCGGCACTATTTGGAATACCGACACCGCGTCATGTATGCTTGATTGTTCATCATGAACGTGCAGCTGACTTGAACAAATACTTGTATTCAAACCGAGAATTACATCCGATTCATCCAATTGGAATCATGAATTCGAAGCAATTAGTGACAAAAGGTATTCCTAAAGACCTTTCGCTGTCTCCACGCGAGACTTTACAACTTGAAGATTTAATCAAGACAAAGTAAATATATGCATTCATTTGATATAGTACAGAATAGCTTGACTTTGTCTTTTTATGTAGACAAACTGGAGGAAAATGTGCATCTACACCACCCCTAGCTGAATACTTTTCATCGAGTTGGATTATCGAGCGAAGTTTATGCAATGAATATTCCAAATTAGTTCACGATCAGTTCAATCAGTTGATTGATCGAAAAGAAATATCTGTTGTCGACTCAATTATTACATCGTTACAGCCAATGACATCAGTGAACTTTCGATATCCTGAACCGAAGCCTACACCTTCATTAATCGTCGATTTTATTATCACACTCAAAGAAAAGAACCTTCTTCCATGTATTGTTTTCACGGATAATCGAACTTTGTGTGAGAGTATGGCTCACAGTGTTGCGATGCATCTGTACACAATGGAAAAGCAGTTGCGAGAAACAAAATATAAAACTCAACTACAAGAATTACGAAATCGTTTGGAATTAGCAGAACAGAACCGACAGAAGTCCAAACCGAAGAAAATTTTGAAATCGTCGCGCGGACGTCGTCATGCTGAAGATGATATCGAAGAAATAAAAATGGCCGAAGAAGAAAACAAGCAGATCTTGCTTTCTGGACACGAAGAGCAACTATTAAACGGTATTTTAGACGAAGGAACATTAGCTAACCGACAAAGATGCGATGGAGCCTTGGCCGACGCTTTATTGAAACGAGCTCATGTAGAAAATCCTCGCCTAGTCTCGTATATGAAACGAGGAGTTGCTTACCACCATTCCGGTTTGAACAACAAAGGTCGTGTTGCTGTGGAAGCTCTGTTCCGTAATCGATATATTCAAGTTGTTTTCTCTACAGCAACACTCGGTACGTACTTTTAGATAATCTTGTGGAAAAAAACTGTATCATCTGTATGTAGCATTGGGTATTCATATGCCAACAAAAAGTGTTGCATTCATACAAGATTCAATTTATCTAGATGCATTACAATATCGACAAGCATCGGGTCGCGCTGGTCGCCGTGGTTTCGATATACAAGGTCATGTGATATTTATCGATATACCGCTATCAAAAATTAGTCATTTATTCATGTCATCCATTCCAAATATTCAAGCACATTTTCCTACCAGTGTCACGTTTCTTCTACGTTTGTTACACTTATGCGCAAATGCCAAAGATGTTAATGATGCGATCAATCGATCATTGATTGCATTACAGTGCTCATTGATGTCGCAATCATCTTTGAAGAGCCAATTGATCGACGTTCAAACACGTTTTCATTGTTTATTCACATTAGATTTTCTTTACCGACTGAACTTGATTGATCGACAAGGAGGATTAATTGGCTTAGCTGGTCTTCTAAGTCACCTGCACTATTTCGAACCGGCAAGTATTTTACTTATATATTTGATGGACACTCGATTATTTCATGAAGTTCAAGATCAATTCGAAATTATTACGATTTTTGCGTACCTTTTTACGAATATGCCATGGTAAATAAAACTGTCGCGTGGAAAATGTTGATTGGTTTGTTTTTATGTAGGTTGATCACTCATCGCGCATATGAAGATCTAGTGCAACACCGAAAAGTAGAAAAGTTGAATTCAAAATTATTTCTAGCACCGATTTCTAAAGAATTTCGAAAACGTGTTGATAGTTACAACTCGATTGTTAAGGAAGTTTATGGATATTATATACAAATGATCATACAACATCTTCGTCGTTCGACTAGTTCTCATAAACAAGAGGAAGTTTTACCATTTTCGAGTATTTCGTTTGCTCAAACTGTGGATTATGATAATGGAACATTTGAGTATCGACTTCATCACCATTATTCCCAACAGATGCAAAATCCTACGTCCATTTCTCCATTCGCTGCTCTCTCAGGTCTTACTCATGAGAAATACATGTCGAGGTATAATCCAATTATTGGCTCATGGGATCTAATTTATGATATTGATTTATCGTCAAAAGTGGTGCCATTCATTGATATAGATTGCTGTGATCACACAAATACAGCTTACCATCTAAATAGTTACGCATTTGACTTCTATCAGCATGGCTCCGAAAAGTTATTGATGATGGAAAACTGGTTAAATGCTGGGGATACATATAATCTTCTGTTAGATTTTAAAATGATTTTGGCATCGGTCAAAACGTCATTGGAAGTTATTTTGAATCATGAGCTCAAGGAAAATGATAATGAAGATTTAACGATGATCGCACCGTTATATCGAACTATCGAAAACGTACATGAAAAATTTTCGACAAAATTCCAACGTCAGTATCCTCGTCGGAATAAGATTTAGATGATGATTTTATTCTGATAATAAAGAAATACAAAGAATCATTTCTGAAGTGGCAAAACTCTTAACTAATCATAAAAGAGTTCGTTCGACAAAAGACAGTTCTGACTGAATAGATTCTTTGTAGAGACAAATAAGAAGTGACGAAGATGCGGTAGAATTCATTCTTTTATATTATGCTTTGATCCTATGACAACGAACACACTGTTGAAGATATTATCAGTATATCTGTTCTCGGTTGTGTTATCGATAAAAGATGATGCTCTAGCAGATGAGACACAAAACTAGAATGTAGTGCAAGTGAATGAACGTCATCTATAGAAAGGATAGTGATAACGCTATTCTTTCAGTGTGTTAGTGCGATCACCAATAAGAAAAACTGAATGATATGCTGCAGCAAACATGAAATATGTTCTGTCATCTCTCTCATGTTGAATCTTTGAGAGATAAGAAATAAAAGAGACGTTGCTTGCATTTTTATCATTCTCACACAATGACGGACAAAAAGCGTGCACGCATCGTTTTGGGATGTGCAACATTGGGTCCAGTTGGTACGAATCTTGCGAGAGTTACGACTGTAGAAGAGATACGAGCGATGTTCAAGACGTTTCAATCGTACGGTTACACAGAGCTCGACACTGCACGATTATATAACGATGGTAAACAAGAAGCTTTTACACGAGAAACAGGTGTGCTTGGTGAAGGTGGATTTACCATTGCAACAAAAGTATATCCAATAGAAGCGGGTATGCATAAACCAGCGAAATTACGGGAGTTATTCGAAACAAGTCTGCGAGAATTAGGACAAGAGTCGGTGGAAATATTCTATCTTCATGCACCTGATCGAAGTGTGCCATTCGAAGAGACTCTTGAAGAAGTGAATAAGTTCCATCAAGAAGGTAAATTCAAAATCTTTGGATTGAGTAATTATGCCGCTTGGGAAGTGGCAAAAATTGCACAGATTTGCATTTGTAATCAATGGGTTCGACCAACAATTTATCAAGCTATGTACAATGTGTTAACACGTGCTCTGGAAGAAGAACTTGTACCTTGTTGTCGACACTTTAGAATCAATATACTTGCTTATAATCCATTAGCTGGTGGTATTCTTTCCGGACGATATAAGTCAACATTGACAGTTCCCGAAGAAGGTCGGTTTGCTGATGTCAAAGGTAATACTGCCGCGAAAATGTATCGCGATCGATATTTTCATGATGCTTATCTCAGCGCTCTTGATCATATAACACCCATCTTGGTAAAGTATGATCTTACGCTTATAGAAACAGCATTTCGGTGGCTTTTGCATCATTCGAAATTAAATGTATTCGATGGCGATGGAATTGTCATCGGAGCAAGTAGTATACAGCAATTAGAATCGAATTTAAAAGATTTACAGAAAGAACCATTGCCCGATGAAGTCGTTCAAGTCTTGGATGAAGCATGGGAGACGACTCGTAGCGTTGCCAAAACATATTGGAGATAGATATAAAAAGAATTTTTTGTATTTGTTTTCTTCCATAGAAATAAAAATGGAATAGATGTCGCCGATCCGTAAACTTAATCAACATTTCAATTGAACGTTCGACAGAACGAAGAAACAGTCGATTGGGTATAGCACGTGTTTGAGAATTTTCCTGAAAAACAATGACAACTCTAAAAGAAAATAAAGTTGGTCTTCTCGACTTACCAACGGAGCTTCTATATCGGATTTGCGATTTTCTGGATACAAAAACGATCGTTCGATCGATTCGACATGTTTGTACGCAACTATTTGCTGTTACAGAAAGTTATAATCGATATAAGATTCACGTTAACTCAATTGCGATGAAAAATATCTGCCGGATTATTCCATTGGAAAATGTTTTACTATTAGAAATCGATGATAACAACAGTGTAATTATCGACATTCATCGATTCCAACGGCTTGAAACATTAGTTCTTCATCGTGTGGATATCAATGAAGTCAAATTGATTTTACGGCATGTGATAAAGAATTGTAACTTAATTACATTCTCTCTCGATGTAAATCCCTTAGAGAATGTAGATGATTTATTGAATTTAGTATCCATGATTCTCTTACAATCCAGTCTTCGCCAATGCATTTTGAACTTTAATCTGAACAACGTCGAACGATTTCTATGGCCGTTTTCGTGTCGAGCTACAAGTATTTCGATTGGAACGTGCACGTTCGAGCAATTTTGCTCCATTCTAGACCATTCGCCTAATTTACATGCTCTCATCATGAACAATTGTTGGAAAGTCGAAATCAACGAGTCATTCCTCACGAAATCCTACACGCAATTACATTCTCTTACACTAAACGACCTCAAAATCACAATGGATAAACTGGAATACTGTCTTTCTCTGTTGTCCTCGTTAACTCATCTGGATCTTACGAGTTCGGGCAAGCCATTCGAATTTATACATCGTCTATCTCAGTGGGAATACTTTCTCCGGCTGAAATTACCACGACTTGCTCATTTGGAATTCTGCATCTTCTGCTATTGCTGCGATTGGAATCATTTTGATAGAATGATCACTGCTTTTCGAAATCCATTTTGGCTGGAAGAAAAACGCTGGTTTGTCACGTGTCAATTTCGTGACGATTGGACATCCAGTTTTACTGTTTTCACCTCATCCAAACCATCGACTCATCGCTCTCCTGATAATCATCATTTTGACAGAATCGTTTGTTCGAACTCGATTGCTTCTGAACAACAATAATTTTATCTTACAAAAACATTACACACATGTGCGAGCGGGTGAGGGTATGGGAAATTATACGACTCATGTTCGACGAGTATTATTTACACAGTTTATTATAAAGACTTTTAAATAGTATCTATGATAATATGAAATTCTGTATTGTTTGAATTTCTTACGACATAGATTAAAACTGATACGAGAAAATCAGGATTATAACGCGTATGCAGTAATACAACTTAAGTTATTTTGTGAACGATTTCGCTGACAGAAAACATTTTTTAGTGCTAGTTACTCCGTCAAGGACTCAGCGAGCGTTACTTGTTGTCATTCCATACTAAAGTCTCATTTTCTATTCAATTGATATTTTCAACTGAAATAATTTGAAATGGTTATACGGCACCTTTTTTATTTTATTAAACAAACGTTTTTCTCAAAGAGGGTATTAGTATGAATATCCTAATTATCGTCAATTATACACTCAGTCTCATGCACAAACAGATCTATCTGCACGCTCACCCTCAAGACCTTCCATAATTTGTTTATTCAAAATAAAGTGATAATGTTTGTGTTGCCGAACTACATGTTGGACTGCCAATTCCTCCCCAATCTGAATTACTGTGACATGGTCTCAATGCATAATTTGCTGCACATGCACAAAATCCATTTGCAGATATCTCAAAACCACTTGAACATACGCCAACTCTCCAGTAAACCCCATTTGATAGTGTAGTCACTGTTGTGTTATACTTTAAAGCAACTACCAGTGCAGTGACAACAGATGGATCAGATACAGTAACACCAACAAGGTCTTTTGAACCATAAAAACGCATTTTCGAATAAGATGAACAAGTTAAACTTGTTTTAAATTGTTGCCAATTTGCACATTGAGCTGCTGTTGGTGTCACACCATTGGTAAAAGTATCAGAATAAGTTGATGAACATGCTTAGAAAAAGAATTCATGTTCGAAAGAAAAATATTTTAATGAAATATTTACGTGCTGAACGATTATCTAAAAGAAAAACACTTTGAAATGGAATAACTCGACATTTTTCTTTTAAATTTACCAAGTATAAGAACTATAATTGGAATGGTAATCGCTGCTACAACAAGCAGTGCCAATAGAATTAATAATTGAGTACAAATCAGTCGCGAAACTGAGCATTGAGACCTTTGACAAAAACCAAAAGAGCAAAACTAATTCATAGCATGAGAATAAGAAGGACAAACTTTGATTTGATACTTTGCTGTGAGCGATGTACAATCTTCGGTTGTTCCAAATTCGATTCTGGAGGTTTAATCATTTTAAATAGCAAAAGTATGAATTTATTTTACATGGGAAAAATTTACGCTTTTAGTTATATGAATAAAGGGTGGAAGAGAAAACAAACCGAAACAAGACAGTCACTTGTGTATACAAAAGAATATTTCTTTTCTACATTTCTCTTGTTTTTACGTATAAGCGAAATGCACGAGCAAGTGTTCTTTTTGTGCTGAAAAAAATAAATACATTAAAGAATCAATCAGTGTGTCTCTATTCGTTTACTTGCGATAGTCTTGTAAGTAGAATTCAATTAATTTCATCCATGCATACACTACGTAAAGAAAAAGCGACATATGTAGAGTCGATGGGGGTGAGGGTGTGGAGACGAATGACGTTTAAATAAACAACTCTAATTCTCATCCAAATCAGTTCTATAATTAGGTCGCCAACAGCTTCGAACTGATGAGCTTAGTATGATATTCAATGTTTCTCATCTGTGGAATGATTGAAGATCGTGGTGGATATCATCGAAATAGTTCTGAACGCAACTCATCAGAAGTATTTTGTTACATAAATCAGTCAACTATACGACGGCGATTTGTTCGTCTTTGTCTAAATTATGCATTTCGCTCGAAAAACTTACTTCGTATTTGTAAGTGACGGTTAATCTTTCGCCCGTGGGCGGAGTACTGAAGATAACAGTGTATGTTGTATGTTCAGAGAAAAACATCTAATAAAAATGTGAAATGTGTTGACAATTTTATTTCTTTCTAGGACATGAATTTTTAAAAAAATAGTTTACAATCTTAGAAAATGTAAGTGCTGTCTATGACAAACTTATAAGCTTCTCATGAATCAGTTGCCGCTCTTCTGCCGTTGCTGGTCGAATCTCGTCGGTCGGTGCTTGAATGCTATCTGATGAGCTTAGTACGAATGTCGTTTCTGCAGCTGTTGAGCAAAGTCGTCTAGCAACGAATGTTAATATCTTGCTATTTGCTCCGCCAATCGGAACGATCGAATGATACTGATTGGGTTCGAGATGTAATGTATTGCCTGGAAAATGGTGGTTCTGTTTAACAGTCCGTAGCACTCCTGGTATGGAATGCATGTACCGAATTTGTTTCCCGAAGTTCTCGGAAACGTATACGTGAAAGTCCCGGAACGATCGTCACTTATTTCCCACAAGCGCTCTTCATATTCACCTTGTAAGCAGTACGTGTCAAAAGCATACCGGTGGTTATGAATATATGTCTCAGAACAATCAAGAAACCAATGAAAGCGATATTCAATACCTTCGTCAGTATTGTTCGTTGGACAAACCACTTGATACATGACATTTGGAACAGTACGAACTTCAACTTCATTCCAGTTGGATAAAACTTGTGATAAATGTAATTCCATAATTATTGATTATATTCGATATGAAAACTTTTATCAAACGAATAGGGACTTATTCCCATTCTATTTTGCATCTTATATAACTTTTAAGAACTTCGAACTCATTTTCGCCCAGTGACATCATTCATACTGTTGAAGAGGGAAATTTCAACACTTTCACGAGAATGGCACGAATCAAGCTGAAGAACATGATGACGACAACGAAAACATGTATTGCCTGTCAATCATCGAATTTTCATTCAACATTCTTTGCTTTTCTTTTCTTCTTCGTTGTTATATTTTGAAAGGATTCTAGCCGGCAACAGCTTTTACCGTTTCAAACGGCGTCTGAATGATTATTTGTAGCAATTTGTGAAAGTATATGATGTTGCTATTCACGTTGTGCTCTTGAGAGAATAAACAAAGAGCGACTTCTACAGTGACTGTCATATAATTGGCTTCATTTTTATACCATTGATTGAATTTTCAATGGTACATGTAAAAAAAACCATGCGATCGTATAAAATATTATTTTATTTTTATATTCAGTGCTGACGATCAGATGATCCAAGACAAATCAATGTATGCTTATAATTCACAAGAAAATCCAATTCTATTGCAACAGTATTGTTCCACCGATCAAACAGAAGTTAAGGTAAATACAACCCAATCCAACTATTTTTAAACATTCTTATCACTGTGTTATCTTATGTAACTTGACACAAGGTCTTCTGTATTGAAATATCAAACAGAATATACGTATACAGTTCTGTTGTCTTTTTCTATAGCACAAAAGAAATTCTGCAGGAATGCTATTATTCACTGGTATGTCACTTATATTGCTCATTGTGATTTATAGCTCAGACAGTATGGTGAGCTGTTCACTTGAACATCGTACAACGAAGTATTCAGCTAAAATTGATCCGCGATATGGTCGAGTCAGAAATCCAAATGTTGCTCTCAAGGACGACTGTGCACTACGCGCTTTCACTATCGAGATGGCTGGGTACATCGCGCCTCCGTTTTGGAAAGGTAACTGGACAACACTTAGTGAAAGTGCATTTCAAATGGATGAATGTAATGAAACAATCTATCGTACTTACCGATCATCCAATAGTCGTTCGCTATTCGCAAATAAAGAAAAAACGAAAGCAGATAACTGTTATCGCACAGTGTTTGTCAACGGGAAAACGGGTGACGATCGATGGAATGGAACATTTGAAATGCCTTTGAAAACTATTCAGACAGCTGTATTATTAACGCGGACGTTTCGTATCACATACGGTAGAAACAATACGATGTGCATTGTTATACGTGAAGGGACGTACTATCTCGGTGCAAATGCAACTACATCCAGTAGTCAAATGGGTGTGATTCAATTAACAAGTGCTGATAGTAATCTTGTGATACAGAATTACCTAGATGAACGTGTCATATTAAGTGGTGGTACGTTATTACCGTTACAATGGTCTGTCCATGCAAAAACAACAACTAATGGTACCATCATGAAAGCGAAAATACCATCGTATATTGACTTAGAGCAATTTAATGAGTTATATATTGATGGTAAACGTGCGATTCTTGCCAAGTATCCAAATGGTGATCCATCGACTCAAGGGTTATATGCTAAAAATCCTGGATTTTGTTTTGAGTGGCAAAAGTGGTGGGGGCCTACTCCGAATAGAAGTCTAGAAGTACATGTACAAGTGCCGTTTCGAAATGGTACGGTGTTTACGAATTTTCAACTTGGCGTGGGCGGTGGTGCATACGTTTTCGATCCGCCTACGAACTTTTGGAGCACAGCGGCACCACCCGGTGGTGATAATTACGTTACTACTCGCGGCATTACTGTGAATAAAGATACATTACCGCATATGAGCAATTGGACTAAATCCACCGCTGGTTTGGTGCACACATTTCAAGGCGAATATTGGGGCAGCTGGATATTTCAGATAGGGTCGGTTAATAGTACAGAATACACGATTATGTTTGGTCGAGGTGGATTTCAAGAAGCACGAGGTTTAAGTTGGGGTGGCGCATTTTATGTCGCTAATATTTTCGAAGAACTTGATTCACCCAACGAATGGTTCCTAGATAAAGATAGCCGTACGCTCTACTTTATGCCCAATGAAACGATGCCAAACACTTTCGTTGCCAGTCAAGTGCCTTGTCTTATTTCTTTGCGCGGTATTAGTATTGATGATCCAATCTATAATGTACGATTCGAAGGTTTAATACTATCAGAAACGACGAGTACATACATGCGGGAATACATGGTACCAGGTGGTGGCGATTGGGCTGTTCATCGAGGCGGTACTCTATATCTAATGAATACGAAAGATGTTAGTATAACACGAAATTTATTTACACAACTAGGCAGCAATGGTATCGCGCTAATTGATTATAACGATGCAACTTCGATTGTTATGAATGAATTCGTATGGTTAGCAGACTCAGCGATCATTCTTGTCGGTAGTACGAATGGAATCGATGGCTTTAGCGTGCGAAGTCAACCAGCAAATACACTGATACAGTCGAATTTAATGCATGAAACCGGTATTTACAATAAACAATCTTCACCGGTACTAATCGCTGTTAGTCGCAGTGCATCTGTCATTGGTAACCTAATGTTTAATGTACCACGCGCAGCAATCAATATCAATGACGGTTATTACGGAAATCATACACTCAGTTGGAATGTAATGTTTAACACAGTTCGGGAAACGAGTGATCATGGACCTATCAACACATGGGATCGGCAACCGTTTTTGAGTGATGCGACCCAACCCGGCGTGCCTTCGCTCTGGCAGCACTATAGTTATATTCACCATAACACGATTTTCAACAATTATAATGCTCTGTGGCCTATCGATCATGATGATGGCAGTTGTTTCTACGAAGACAGTTATAATTTTCATGTTTATGGTGGTAAAAAGAATTTTCTAGGTCACTCAAAGAAAGATCATCATCAAATCTACGTCTACGCAGATATGAATCGAGGTGATTTCGGAAGTAATACATGTTTGGGGTTTTATGCACCTCGACGAGGTTTTAGTGGATGGAATGAAGTTTGGATGAACAGTACTTGCGTACTTTATAAAATTCCAGTGCCTTATGTTATCGGAAACTGTGATACGGCTGATTTATTTGTACCCTATTTAGCAAACAATAAAATATACATTCCAAATGGTACTGAAGCGATATTTCCATGCAATATCAATGGTACTAGCACAAAACTTAGCTTCAAACAATGGCAGTCATACGGAGTAGATAACGGTACGATTATTGATTCGACACCCGATGTTCAAACCATCATTGAATGGGGCCGTCAAATGTTACAAACAACAATCTAATGACATGTATTGAATAAGGATGTGATTCTTTTGTGAATTTTTGCAGATTACTTGTCTTCTTATCTTTTTCATATATCATTTTTATTTATAAAATTGATCAAAAAGATTTTAAATTCCATTCTCGTCCATTAAAATTTTTGACTTGTCTAACGATGAGATTTTTATGAAATTTACATACTACTCATAATTTATGATTGCAAATGAAAATCTTAAAATCGCGCTTGAATAATATCTTCGCCTTGTGCTTTGAAATAATCAGGTGGATGAGAATTGACCACAATTTTGGTCTTCTCATTAAATGTCGCGCCTTTCGTTGACATAAAAACATTCGGATGTGATACTTTAGTTCGTTGAATCTCATCCATTGCAATACCTATATTGTCTTCGGGAATCCATACAATTGGTGTAGGATCTCGTAGTGCTGGATGTATATATGCATTTTCCATTGTGTTATCGAAGAAGTCCACGACAACATCGTTCATGTTCGTCGTTCGACAATAACTGATCCTATGCATGGCCGTTCTCGCTATCGGAAACATTCGTGTGCCTGGATTTTCTAATTGTGCGTATTCATCAGCGTCAACCGGTAGATAATATGTCAGTGGATCGAAACTGGATCGCATGGCCATGTGGACAACAAATGTAATGATGATTAAGACACACATCAGAGCACCTTGAGGAACAGCAGCTTGTGCGCCGACCTCATTCTGTACGAGAAAAAACAGAGCTGCAAGCATAATTTCCATTAAATAGACACCGGTAAATGACTGGTAAATTGCTCTTGGGAAAGCCAGGCCGCCAGAATCGTTGGGAAAATCGTTCACATAAAACATCGTATACGCATAAGCAATGTAAAACAAAGCAAACGCCAAAGCGGATATGATTAGGATTAGGGGCGCGATTATCGAATAAACTAAAGTGATAACAACGAAATTTGTAAAAACAGGAAAGATCGTGCCCCAGCTGAGACTTGAAAGTGTGAAATATCGTCTCCAGATCTTTCGTGGCGTATTATCGAATAATTTACCAAGCAGATAAAAAGAAATTAAGGTGAAAACTTGTAAAAGAACACCACAAGCTACGCTTAATCCCTGCAGTGCAATAAAACTAAAGAAGAAATTACTGGCAGTTGGAATATTCGCAGCGAGAATAGTTGCAGCCAGTGGCGGGTTTTGAATAATATCAACAGCTACACTGGAGACACTGCTCGAAATGGTCACAAATAGAAACGCATGTATCACTTGAAAAACAAAGTAAGAACCTTGAACATAACGATCAATAGCATCTGTTGTAGGTTTACCGGACAGTGATGCTAATAGTTTCAAAACGATAGGTAACAATGCCATCAAAATAGCCAATAGAGCTGCCGGTAGGAGGC